CTATTTGGTAATCAATCAACATAATGTTCATCCATTATTCAGTCAGTTCGTTCACCTCGCCTTTCAAGGTCTTATCGTGCATTATTTTAGCGTCGGTGGCGACCCACACACGCACTACTATGCACATTTCCAAGTACGCTGCACTAGGTTGGAGGAATAAGAGCGCGTGATAAGAATAAGATAATGACTATCATTAGGCTAGATATATTATTATAGTTATGAAGAATATTATAAAATATCCTATGTTAAATCTTTTTGAAGTGCTGCTAAAGCTTCTTAAATAGACAAACCCTAGGAATGATTCACTAACAGGTGAATAATTTGTTTTAAAATAAGAACTCGTAAGTTGTCACTGATTGATTATGTTTTACATTGAAGCTGCTTTATTTAATAAAAATAATAATGTAATACAGTTAAAGTCACATGTATACATTAGCTATTAAGCCTTTTAAGAACTCAAAGGCAATGTTCAATTTACTCAACAAGGATTGTATACGATTATCAAGACCAGTTGACAGGAACCCATCAATGACGAGGTGTAGCGCGGTTGTAATTTACGATGGGCATCGCTCTCTGTGATGACTTCTTGTATCTTTAAATGAAACACTTAAAACGGTAGCTGCTCTGCTCTTACGTATATCTGATGAAGATTTGAATATTCAGTTTGACGATATGCTTAAGCTAGTTAGTTAATGATTTCTTTCTATAATTACCTAGTACGTAAATGTGCTATCGTGGAATATTTTCATTTGAGTAGTAGGTTAATTAGCTACACTGTAATTTTCCGAGTCATTAAAGCATGTGGCGGTTCATAAAGACTCCCCACGTGGTGAGGCGAGCGCCTTTGTTTTTTTGTTCGGTAGCACATCGTTCATCATTACGTTTATTATCTGTTTGGCCTTGGCCGTGAACGGTCGCGCAGGAGGACACTTGCGCGTGGGCAAATACGGTGGCTACAGAGCGTACCGCAGAATTTTGAATCAACTTGACAAAAAACTTATTGTGTCTATACCACGAAATGTTTTACTTGACATTAAACAAAAAACACGTATATTAAATTAAAGTACCACATCTTTAATCGTAGTAATAAAAAATAAAAAAAACGATGATTCGTGTTCGCTTTTTAGGCATCTCCTTGCTGTTCAAATGTAAACTTAAAATAAAAAACTGAATACTGTTAACTTAGACATGCATGATTGATTAAGTATATAAACCGCGAGTGAAATTGCGATGCTTTAATTGGTATCGTACGTATTGTAAAAAGAAACCGTTACTGGTTTCTTATACTATTCTTGTAGAAAGGTGTGAAGTATTTATGGGACGTTATTAGAAATAACGAAGTTCTTGCCTGGTTTTAATATTTCTACCGTTGCTAAGTAATACTTATTTATTTAGGTGTCCATAAAAGTTAAGAATGATTATATCTGTCTCGTCATTTGAATCTCAGTGAAACAATATTAACCTTATTTCCAAATTCGATTTTGTGACACTCATTAAAGATCACCACAGTCGTTCAGAAGTTAGTTGTAAAATGTTTGCTTTAGAGGGATCTTAGCAAAGATTACATAACTTTCTTACGACTGCCACCAAATTTGCACTTGCATAAGCACTTTTTATCATCAAATTATGCGTTTGGTAGACGTCAAATATCGGTATCTCCATGAAGCACAACTTGAAAAGCTTGAGCGAGTTCAATTTTTGTGTTAAAATATATGTAGAATATATCATATATATTCTTTCTGTTTTACAATATCAAAGAATAGTTTCTTGAAGAAATATAAAAAATTTCTATAGGTCATTTAAAGATTTGAGACTGGAGATGCTTAATGCAATTCACTAAATTTTTTTCCAATGCGTAGCCGGTTAATATTAGGTTAGCGCAATCAATAAATACTCAAGAAAATGTTCCTTGAACATTATAAATCACTACTCACACTGTATATGCATAAATTTTATATGAGATACTTAATTCTTGGTATTTATAGTAACTAAAAGTAGTTTAAAATACAAAAATATACTACGTATTTACAAGTTGTTACAGTTTTTAAATACATTACCGCTGTATCTAAATCATTTTGATCTAGGTATCCTATGGTTACTTACCGCCTTTTGAATATTAAATGCTTCACAAATATAACAATAGTGTTATCTATCGATTTATATAAATGTCAAAGACTAACAAGTCTTGTGATTTTACGAGATCAATTGAAGCCTATTAAAACATAAATTAAATGATAAAACTGAATAGGTGGGTCGGCCATTGTCCATTTGGGTCAATTGCAACTATTGGTTTGTGTGCCGCCCACCAGTGTCAGGCGATCACCGAGGACCAGACGACCTAATGTACGATAGCACATCCGTTGACGTGCTCGTAAACACAGTTTAATTCTTCAGTTGCATAATACATGCCTCTTGACGGCTTGTGTGCCATTATCCTCATATTTACTCGTATGTATGTATAAACTATACGCAGTATATTTTATAGGTAGAATCAATAGTTATATAATATTTGATTTATCGGTGTTTTATCTTTTATTTTAAAACTAACGGAACGGAAGCATCGTTGAATATTGCTGTGGGCCTCTGGCTGGAGAAAAAAAAAGAGAAATCACACCAATTATGCGGTTGCGGTTAAAATTATGCACAATTTTATTGTCAAAGAAGTAATGCATTGTAGCCATTAACATTTAATTGAACACTTTAATATCCATCTTGTACTTTCTTCTTTCTATATGGATTTAAAATGTAACAATAAGTTAGCCTAAAGCGACGATCATACATGTTTCAATTGAATCAAAATTCTTTAGTGTTGGTTCAATGAAAACATAAAAAAGTCCATTAACTTACGTAATATACGTGTGTAAAATATGGCAACTGAATGTTGTAGAGTAACTTGAAGAAGACTGCGGATACGTAAGTCGTTCTTTAGAGAAAACTCCGTCTTTAAAATATGGCCAAGGCCGTTATTGATAATGAAAGCCTTTTGAACTTGCCTTGTGCCTACTGAACCACTAGCTGAGCTACTCATGATTTCATGTAAATAAGTAAAGCCAATAACGTATAACGCCAGTAAATATTATCACCGCACTAATATATCCTATAATTATTCCACCCAAATATTCAATGTGTAAACCATATTTCCGTAAATAAACACGTAGCTATTTGCTCCATGTCGATACAACAGAATGACTTTGATGTTGAAAACGTCTTGAAGTCATCAATGTAATTATGTTTAACCCTGGCAATGTTTCGAAGTTTTCATAATATTGTATATGTTAAGAGACATTTTCTTTGTAAATACATCGAAAGGAAAAAAATACTCTTAAATGGCATACATATGTATGCTTCAAGTTTAAAACAAATAAACAAATGTTAGCTAGATGTAATTTTTTCCACATTAAACAGTACTATACCGTAGTAGTCACCATCGTTGCTAAAGGAGTCGTTGTGTAATACTTTTTTGCACTTATTTCTTCTAAACGTGATCGATTGATCAAATGTTTATCATGATCCAATTTCACGGTACAGACCCCTAGGGCGCAAACCGAATTTGCACTTGATCGAGTTTTTGTAAAGTATTTTCTCTTTTACGATATTTTGAAACGAAATTTCAGTATCCAAATAAAAGCAAAGCTATTCAAATAAAAGTTATTCAGATGTTATACCTTAATGACCCCAGGCGGTCAATCAGGTAATTAAAGAAGTATTCACTGTGTTTCTTGAACAAGGCAATATTCAGTGTCACTTGGATTTTATAAATAGGGAATAAATAAATATAACCAAACACAGACTTAATGTAATCATTAATTTTCCTCAAAAATAACATCGAATGTGTGTAAGCGTTCCTGCATTCGTTTGGATATCTGTTACGAGATTGTATTAGGGCAAAACTGACACAAATTGTTCTTTCTTGTCTGCGTACTTTTAAAATTATTCGCAAGTTTAAACGTAAGTTAATTTGCACCGGGTCCACTCACCAGTGGTCCATTTTGATTTTCGTTCTTGCGATACCGCCACGGTATTTAGTTGTTTATAAGTTCACAATTTCTAGTCCTTAGAGCGAAACTAGAGAGAAAACAAATATTAAAATGAAATAAAATATGTAGGTACTGTGAGAGTAAAATTAAAAATTATTTTGATATTTGTTAGTATTTTATTTTAATATATTTTATGTATTTTAATATAGATATTTTAATATAGATATTCACAGTACAATTAAAAACTATTTTGATATTTGTTGTCACACTTTTCAACATTTATTACATTATATACGAGTGAATAAAGTAGACAATATTTTCACTTAGTTCGGTGAGAAATATAAATATATAAATGGATAGCTGTAGCAGTATTATGTAGAACTTAACGCTGACAGCACTGGCCGGATGAGGCAAGTCACGCAGAACATTATATTCTAAGGAACTGAATATTTTCGCTTAGAATATTATCAAGGAATTTTCTTTGTACCGACAGACAGCGCCAAAGTGCAGCGCAGAATAATTTCATACGCATTTTTTACATTACTTCGTAATGTAAAAAATGCGTATGAAATTATGCCCTTCGTGCCCTTCGAGACTAAAAGCGTACGTAAGTTACGTCTAGAATATCTAAAAAGTAAACACGAAAAGTTACCAATGATAAGCGAAATTGAACAAACATGCTTAAATGTAATATCTACTGTAGAATGTGATGCAACAGTACCCTGTACCGGTTTTTCGCTCGATCGGCTCCCTGGCGTCTAGCAAAGATACGATAATCAATGGACTGAAAATGTTTTGCATGGAATTGATTAACCCTGTGGCCTCGTCGGCTTTGATACTCTTATCGTTTTGCTTGTGTATTTTATATATCTTTTAGAATACATTTTTGTTTATTTCTAAGTATTTAGACATCATTTCACTGCACATAAAATGTTTCAGCTTCGTTGATTTTGGTTACTAAAACAGTTACTGTATAAAGTTATCCGTGACCTACGCAACAGTATTCTGTATTGTAAGTTTCTGATGGGTAATTCTGCCTCTCCTAACATGAAATCAGATATAACATACTCCAATTTCGCAAATGCCAAGTCGGATGATTCAAGAGGTATTCTCACGGTAGCTCTTTAGAGAAGAACAGAGAAAGCGTTATCTCATGTATCGGAGCGCGAACAATGTAAAGAGCGTGTCGATGCTTATCACAGACAGCCTATCTAATACCTGAAGTACTTGTATACTTTCACTCGCCGCTTCTTAAACCATTTTGTTTGTTATCGGCTTGCTTATTAGACCTTTGACTTTGACGTAAGATTAAATTTTCTCATGAATAATTGCACTTTTATAAATTTCATCAATTTGGAGTACAAAGACATAAAGAATCGAATTTATTACAACTTAGATTTGTTATGAACAAAGCTTTGAATTACATTTAGAGATATTTAAAACGTAGTTTATGCACAACGGCTTCAAAACTACAAATCAGCCAAATCAATGAATAAAGGCGTATTTTAATGAAAAATCTTGCCCAAGGTCAATTATCGTCAATGTATTGTATAATCTAAAAATGTATCATCAATAATTATCCATGTATTGTTGATAGAAGTATAAAAGGGATGAATCATATTACACCACGCCGAAGTCTCCAACAGATTTAAATACACCTCGTGACAAGCCCGGCAATATACACACCAGTGCCCGTTGAAAATATAGAGCATATAATGTGTATATTATAGATAAATGTTTCACAGTATCCCAACAATGTGTAACATTGATAACCTCCTATTTTTCATCATTTTTAAGCAGGGCTTTACTGCAGAATATGAGCTTGTAGCCTGAGATTTTTTCACTTACTGCCCTAATTTATATTGGAGTCGCTTGAGATTTTTGGAAGTGGCGATCAATTGCCACTGTCCCTAGGGAAATCTGTTGTACTTACAAACATGTTTCGAGTGTATAGTATTTATTATATTTATGTTTTCAACATAAGTGTTAGTAATATAATTTAGCAAGTATAATTTCAGATCACCAGTCTAAGAGTCTAAACCTCCGTTGATTGTCTTTGTTTATGTCAATATTTTTTTGCAACAATTGATTGCACAAATGTCGGCGTCTTTTTTCCCATTCCTCAGAAGAGCGATACGTCCTGTTGAATCTCGTCATACGTGTAAACGAACTAAGACAATATTGTTTACAAAATATATGTAAAACGTTTCACTCCTGGAACAAACGGAACAGCGTCTTTAGCGTTTAATATTCAATAACACATCCATAAACGTCTATTGTGTCGGTATGGATTATGGGTGTTGGGGAGACGCCGCCGTCGGCCGCGCATGTTAATCTGGCGCAGCTCGTGATTTAGTGCACAGTGCCTGAGCGCGTACACAGCCCACGGGCGACAGGCCTAATTACAAAGTGTAATGAGGGAAGGATATCGACGCCCGCGCTCGCGTCCGCCTGCTCACAATCACTCTTTGAGATGACAATACTGGTTGCTTTGTTTTGTTAGAATTTATATGCAATATAGATTTTAATTTCATTTATTAAATCTAAGTTTTAGTAGCTTATGTTGAGACAGATACTTAAAATAGAAGTGTGTAAATTTTACATGCTGAAGTAATCTCAACATAAAACTTTTGATTTATAATTTGAATGTGTATTAAATTGTGTAGTATACTCTTAAGTTAAAAAAGAGTCATAAACAGTAAACCACATTAAATTTAACATGCAATCAACGATTCTACGGTACTCTATAACAAATACATTGAAATCTAATCGTGGATCTAATCTCAATACCAAGTTATTAGATCACGAACGTCGTGTTCGAATTAACAATATTTTCATTACATCGTTCAATGGGTGCTTATCTGAGCATCAAAAATTGCACACAGTCATAGAGGTAACCCATTATATAATTACACACAGACGAACGTTTTCATGTTGTGATTTACGCACGAGTGGACTTAGCATGACAGTTGCCATGGGCGCGGGCAATGCTTAGCAAAAACGCTTCGCAATAGGCTTCCATACTACTTTAGATTAATATTATGCATTTTTTTTAGTAATAATATTAGCCAACTTAACTGTAATGGAATGGTAAGTATCTCTTAAGGCCTATAAAAGCCATGTAATGTTTCGGGGATTGAGTTGAAACATATTGTTTTTTAATCTTAATTAGGTTCTAACTTGAAAAATTATATCTAACTGATAGTGAAAACCGCATCGAAAGCGGTTGCATGGTTTAGGAGTTAGCGGATGTATAGACAAACGCATAAAGCGACTGTTTTACAGTATGTAAAACATTTTCGAAACTTTCGATGGTACGTTCTTCCTAGTTTCCCTATTCCCAACAGTAAGAAAGACATAAGTATGTTTAACCACTAGCTGCACTGAACTGCGAAGTTTTTAGACCAGTCGGTCTGGTCTACGTTGCAACAGAAATATTGCTTTATTACTCTCTTTTATACTTTCTTTTATATTATTGAATATTTTACCTTAGGGACGTGCGGCCTGCATGAAAGTACAAAAAACAAGGGACCTGTTAGACTGGTAGCTTACTAAATTAAATTTTAAAATGTATTCGTCATGTTATTACTTGGAAATATTTATATATTTTACATTTTCTTTATAGGCTATTAATGGGGATAAAAACTACAGTTATTTAAACAAATTGTCATCAATATTCCTTTGAGTAATCAATCAAAAACAAATTATGAAAACTATCCCTGGCCTGAGAACAATTTATGCTGCCTCCAGACTGTACGTTTAACTTATGCAAATTGTAATTTTTTGTGACGAAGTGTCGTCACGCTGTCAGTGATGGACATATCAAATTGTTTTATTTATATCCCCTGAACACTATGAATATATAATTTGAGCCAATAGACACGTTACAAGTCCATACGGCTGAAAATCAATTACTGCAACAAAATGAGTATGGTAATGAAATTACGAGACTAAATCGTGGGACATGTTTTTTACATTTGTTTATTAAGTCGTTCGAGAGCATATTTATAGACTTTGTAAGTAGAAACAGTAAAATATTGACAGCGTTAAAACTCACTAAGCTCTGAAATTATTTTATTTTATGCTGAAATGTTCTTCTAAACAACAAAATATTTTGGTGATTTCTGAAAATTGGTATTAATCAAAGAGTTATCCGTAAGAATTGATGTAGTCTTGTAGTTTTTCAGTATTTTTGTATCAACATATATGTTCATCAAAACATTTTGAAATCTTACTACTGTACAACATATTCCTGAATTCTTAATATTAATATCTGATTTAATGTGAAATATTAAGAAAATCATTACTACACAAACAGTGTTTGGTTAGAATGGCGAAAAAACAAATATTAAGAAAGCTGAGCAACTTTGCTCTATACCATAGGTTCTCTTTTTTCATTGATTTTATTATTATTTTTCAAAAGTCATTACGTTTTTGCTATTTTTACATTTAAAAATGCGGTTCTGATACCGTTGTGGTAGTCAACGCGGACTTACTTTTATGTTGAATTTTCGGTTCATTTGACGTTTCATTGCGGGTACTCTACAGAACAATAGAATAGGTTTTTTAGACGTCTTTATTCATACCGCAATGTAGATGTCTAACAACGATACAAATGAAGTGAGACTTTTTGTTCTTACCGTTAAAATAGCGAGACTCCGATGATTTGAATAGGAATAATATATATGCACGATTTACCATTTAAAAATATTTTCCATTTGTTTCAATAAAAAAATCAATTGGTACAGGCCAATTGATTTTTTTCATCAGAAGTATCTTTTTTACTAACAAAATTTTTTATCCGTTCCTGATCATTGTTAAACTAAATACTTTTTCTTTTGTTTCAGTTTCTGCCACTCTACCACCACAGAGGCCTTGGATACCTTTGACTCGACCAAACAGGACTCGTCCGACTTGTAAGTCCCCCTTTTATTATTATTATTACTTGACACTTTTATTTAAAACTTTATTTATCCTGACTTGATTTTTTTTCTGGAGTTGCATCTAGTACCAGCACAACTGATCGGCAATACGATACTTATCCCATATATTTGCTTTGCCTTTATAGCTAAAACTGCATTTTATACTCTAAGAAGTCATCTTCTCGATTTATATAAAGAAGTGACTAAAAATATAAAGTTAAGATTATACGGGTGCGGATGTATATATATATATATATATAGATTGTGCGGGAAGTCTGTTAACCGGAGACCTAGGGCAACAGACGGAGACGAAAAGGGAGCGGGGTTTAGGAGATGATTTTCTCACTGCCGGTCGAGCAGGCTCACAAGACCGATCTACTGAAGTCTAAAAGTGTCTTGGCCGCAGTGGGAGGTGGGACAGGGTAATGAGTCAAAGTCAGATTAGTCAAAATGACTGCTTTATTTACATAAAATTACAACTTATATTCTAACCTTACTCGAATTACACATAGATGGCATTTGCTTGTGTTCCATCCGTGTGTAGTGTCGATGCAACTACCTTGTTTTCGGTCAAGCCGAAATGTTGACAGTGCATGGATTTTACGCCACACTCCTGGTGACACGCAGATGTTGTTGCTGTGTGTGCAACCATGTTCATGATTGAACAAAGATGAAATTGACTGCATAGCATCTGCGACAGTTCATGATTGATTGATTGATTGATTGATTTTTTATATCAAAAAGCCATGGGGAGGCCGATGTCCAGCAGTGGACTGCGATAGGCTGATGATGTCAAAAATAATCTGTTGTTCTCCACACGGATACAATGTTATTCCAGTTCTACTGGGAAGATTACTACCATACGCAACCAACACCTTTTCAAAGGAATAGAGATATTATTATGTTACTTTTCCAATTGAAGTGGTCGCAGGACCTACACAGAGCACGAATAATTCTCGTTAAAACATTAATTTAAATGATACCATCTCAGCCTTAGGTTTTTATTCGTCGCAGTCTACGATTCATAACCTAGAACGACGTAAGATCATTTAATAGCGATAGCTAAAAGCTCACCAACATGTTTGTCATTAATATAGTGTCATTGTGGCACGTATGGGCGCGGCGCATGCGGCCCATCTCATAAATAACCAACTAGAGACCGCCCTACCATTGCAACGGTAATGTTTCCACCCGTGAGAGACCTCAGGGATACCACTTTAGTCCTGGCTTCTATATGTTCCCTTCCATTAAGTACCGTACATAGTTGACGTAAAATATATAACATTTGATTGGAGGAGGAGCGTCCTAGTTGTGACATTGATTTACGTATATTAATTACTGTTTCAACAAAGTTGCAATACCAAACTCGTTTAGCATGTGTAAGCAATCTGAAATCTATAAATTACTTTCATACATACAGTGTCGATGTATTTCGAAAACTATATACTACTTGCTTTTCCCGCGGCTCCGTCCTCGTGTATGTCGGTTATCGACGTAAAAAATAGCGGCTACATTACCCGCTGTTAATGTAGCTTTCCATTGGTGAAAGGATTTTTAAAATCGATCTAATGTATCTATCAAAGTATGGAACTATGGATACTATATACTTAGTACGACATACTAGTAGAGATGTGTCCTTGTATGCAATAAAGACAAATATGCAATAAATTTTAGGGTTTATTTACTCGCAAATATAATTACAAGCGTAATAATAATTTAGATTAAAATCGACATCAACTTTCAATAACCACAATCGACGCCGATACCTGTTTGACCACATTTTAGATTCAAACTAATACTAGGCTAAGAATATTCCCAACTAGAATCTCGGCTCCGAAAAAAATATCTAAAAGATTCTTAGTTAATAAATTGTAATATCACGTGGATTTTCTCATGCTTTCTCGCATAGCACTTTATTAACTCCTTTTAAATTTATTTTAGTATTGAGTTTCAGACCAACTAATCTTGAAACTAGTCGTAGCTTAGATCCCGTCACACGTTGCACACCGGCACTCATGCTGCTTCCCGATACACGAAGCGAGTACCCAATTTACATAAATCAAAGCCGACACCCGACCATGCCAGCCTCGAAGACCTTACACCTATTGGCAAATAATTAATATCGTTGCACATTCAACATTCCTGATTTGTTAAAATACTTGCAACATGTCCGTTACCAGTTCGTTGCGTAAAACAGGGTTGTGAATCAACATGTCCACAATCTATACAAATAAATAAAATTGAAGTGTCTGTTTGTAATGTCAAAATAATAGTTTTTTTTTTTATGCTTACACGGTTATTTGCACGATACCTATGCCTAAAAACCAGTTTAAAATATTCTATCTATAGTATCTGTCTGTCTATCTGTTTTGATAACAAATTTGTTTGTTGGCAACAAACTCTTCAAAAACATTTTGTACTGCCTCTCGGGAATTGAATTTTTTACCCACTAAAAAGTTGTCTAAATTTTGGAAAAAGTAATAGTCGGTAGGTGCAAAGTCTGATGTCTCTTATTAATTTTCATGAAACAAAAAATAAAGAACAAAAGGATCATTTTTTCCGTTTAGATTTTAGAAAACTACCAGTAGAGTATCCTACCTATATATACAACATATATATAGGTAGGATACGTACGGTTCCTATAACGTATATGGTGCTTCCCGGCCGCAAACAATTGCTTTTTAACAAGATATATTTGTGGTACATTTAATGTATTGATTGGTGCAGCAAGAACAATAAAACAACATTTAAATAATTAATACGTCTATAAATTACGAAATCGACTATGGCCGGCCTGCGCCGCAATACACTACAACATAACATTTTTAAGTAAGTTCGTAATTCAAAAAAAAGGTTTCAATATTTTGAGAAGGCAAACAAAGCAAATTTAACTTAGTGTACTGTAAACCACATGAGTAGATAAACGGAACAGAGACAAAGCTTCTTAAGAACGTGAAAAATTGTTACCTATTTTATTTTGGTAGGGTTGTCACAATAGGTGAAGACAAATTAAACAAAATATTTGTTAAATAGTTTTATTATTTAGTATGAAAGAATACTTTACAAATTACTTACTCTAATAATTTTCTTTTATAAATTTTTGTTTTTTAATGGTGTTTTAAATGTTTCTTTTAATGGTGTAGTAAATTCCGAATGGAAATGGAAACACACATGGCATATCAAGTTTACAATATTTAATACGTTTGAGTATTTGGTTGCCAACATTGACAATATTTATTTCAAAATCGAAATATTCGCGAAACTTTTGCTTTCAATAAATACGATAAAATTATCAGGAGGTATAATTAAAAAACCCAATTGTACGTTATTAGTTACATAATTAAAATCCTTGGAATAGAGAATTTTTGCCAATATTTATAGGTTGTTCAGATTTCTTAACGTACAGTTTTGTTTTGCACACATACCTCTACATACCAACGCACCCACAAGTGTAGAGTACCCTCTTCTGATTAAAAAAAGGATCATAGATTAAAATAAAGATACTTACTTGAAAAAGTAATTATCAAATATTTATTTACCTATTGTACTCCTTGGGATAGTTAAAGTATGATATATTTTTATTTTTTTCTAGTATTATTAATACACACAGTACAATAAACAACCAGCATTCATAATGAAATAAAAGGTTTTACATTAAAATATTTAAACTTGTAACGAACAAAACAAACAACGTGGTTCACACTGACCCTGAGATTGTCCACTGGCTATGCCAGCGTAAACCGGTTTTTTCCAGAATCGCCGCGTACACGACAAGCGGCCAGTGGTCACGCACACATGTCCCGCTTGCTTGTAGTAGTGCAACTGATTCGCGCGGTTATATGAAGCTTTATCTCTGTTCCGTTTATCTACTCATGTGCGGTAAACTCCACAGAGTCAGAAATCTAATGCCGATCCGTGGAACAATCTGAATAGTCTGAATGCAAAGTTGCCTATCAAAATTTATTTTATTAACTACGTAAACACTAATAGAGGACAGATCTAAATAATTTGTCACCAAAGGATAGCTCAATAATCCTAAACTCGCTTGTCACATTTACTTCTAAGAGTAAGTGATTTCCTCGTATTTTCGCCCTAGTCAGTCACCCATAGAAAATATTATAAAGGACAGTACGACATATAGGGCTACATGCCGATGGCTTTACTGAAGAATCAATCGAGCGTGAATAGGAAGTGATCTACAATACGCCGAGGTACGTTTCAGTTGATCGCGCTTAGTCGCCCTCATGGTCGGATAAAACACGAGAGGAGGAAATGCCCTTCGTCTCGCCATTCGCAGATGAACAATGCACAATGAGAAACCTTAGCTGTGGCTGCAACCTCAAAGCATCCGTAAATCTGCAAAATCTTGTAAAGTGTCATTTTAAATTCATTCTCTTCAACTTTACATCACAATATTCAACATACTCCAGCTAGAGGGTATCATTTTTATGGTAGTGGTACGATAGAAGGAACTCAAATAATTTACGAGTATTTAGATACTAGGAAGAAACGCCAACTAATTTAAATAATGTATTTATGGTCTTGGGTTTGCGGGCTGACTTTATCGATATTACCTCATTTAATATTTATCTTACTTTATGTAATATCCAAATAATATAGATAAATAACAAGATATATATACAGTCTAGACTGCTTAGGCAAAACATCAGCGAACATTCTAACAATTTATATTTTTAACTGACTTTTAAAAATGGGAGCTTTAACATCCATTATTTTTTTACGTATCTTAACCGATTATTTTCTTTTGATCCCATTACTATTAATTATTAAATAAATATAGGCACACCTATAGCTATTAGGATATTTCCTGTAGTAACTGCTGCATAGCTGACGAGAAAGGCTCTATTCGGTGAAGTCTGAGTTATAATGAAGATTACAGATTCGATAACTGTAAAATGGTTGCTAGAAGTTTATACTCATCACAATGCATGTCTTATACCACAAGAATTTCTAAGTAATTAACGTCCCTGGCC